TAAGTAGAAATAAGACGAGCTGTATTCGCTGCAAGTTAAAATAATAGCAGTGAGATGAGATTAGATGATACAATGGTGCATAAATGTAGACAGTTCAAATATTTAGGATCATATGTGTGTAGAATGATGTGATAGATGAAGACGCAACACAAATTAAAAGAGGATCGTTACATGGAGGAGTTTTAAGAGAGTTATGATCTATGTGGATGCCTAACAAAATGAAACACATGTTCTATGCAATGGCTATGAGATCAACAACCTTATATGGGAATGAATGTTGGAATTTTAAAGCCATTTGTATATCCACAAGATAAATAACACCAAATTTTATAAAAATGCATATGTAAGATATGGATGTGCGGTCATACGAGGTCATATAAGATTAAAAGTATCACATCTTACAAAGGATGTAAGTAGCAAACATAGAGGATAAGATGAGAGGTCATTTTTTCCATCTCCTAAGTAGACCTCCATATGCACTAGTCAGACTGATGTGCTACAACCTGATGATTGAAAGTGCTAAAAGAAGACAAGGAAAACCTAAAACTATATGGAAGAAAGGATTAGTAAACGGACCTGCAAGTCTCAAAATTAATATGGATTTAGCCCAAAAAATGATACAATCAAAGCAAAGAATCCGTATATGCATTGTTAGACTTAAATCTGGTCAATTGTTCGCTAGAAATCTCTTTTTGTTGTTAGAGACTCATCTGTTCAAATAAGGATATGTACGAGATTTAGAAAGACTCTACTTTAAGGGAATCTCTAATGTTTATTTTAAGTAGGGAATCTATAATATTCCGTAAAAGATAAATTATTTAGTACTGGAAAAAAATGGAGCTGAATAGAACCGAATTTATAACAGACGAGTCACTGATTTGAAATTCGTGAATAGATTGATGGGTGATTTTAAGGTTCAAATCAGTTTTTTGACTGTGAAACTCTGATATTCAGGTTGCCCTGTTGACTGAAAGGGATAGCAATTTATTATGCTGATAGAAGCAATATTCAGCCTATCTTTTTGAGTTTGTTGAGATACTATGTACAATTGAGGTTGGAGAAATACAATGCAATATTGTGTGCATTATTCGTTAGTTTTACTCATATCAGCTAGATGATTTTAATAATTGCAGCATTTGACAACATGGGAATGGAAATGCTGATGAACATGTTCGGTGGACTTGGGACGGGGGGATTGGGTGTACCCAACAGATCCAATGGTTATTTTACTCTCTCGCTGTCTGTCTCTCTTTCTCTCTCTCTCTCTCTCTCTGACATGACCTATGCTCATTTTCCTCTTGATGTGTTATTGTAGTGCCCCCAGAGGAATTATATGCCACTCAGTTAGCCCAGTTACAAGAAATGGGTTTTTTTGACACTCAAGAAAATATCCGGGCACTTATTGCCACTGCAGGGAATGTGCACGCTGCGGTAGAGCGACTTCTAGGGAACACTGGACAGTAGTGTATGGATACTCTTTTGTATGACTATATAGCTCCTGGTGGGGACAGATGAAATTGTTGATGTAGACAGAAGAAGCATCAAATCTTGGGTAGAAATAAATTTGCGGAGTTTGATTTTTTGGAACGAACTCTCATCTTATCCCCCATTGTCTCTTGCCTCAGGCCAAAAAGGAAAAAAGTTCTTCAGTTCATTGTACATACAATGTTAAAATCAGCCCCTTAAATTGTTCATTATAATATGATATATCGTACAATTTACTGTAGCATTTTCTTTTTGTAGTTTGAACATTATGCTGGATGTTATCTGCCTGCTGTATTTGTCTATTTTGGGTTTGTGCTATGGACTAATGTGTCACAGGTGGTTTTTGTACTAAAAGCTTAATGATTGTTACTGCTGGGTTTCTTTAATTGTTGCAAGTCAGGTTGAGCAAACCGACTATGATATGGGCACTTGGTGCATGTCGAAGGATGTATTGCAAAAGGCAATGTAGGCAATGCGAGATATTCTTATCCTAAGAAGCACGAATAGGATCTTCATCAGAATAGCTGAATGGGTACACACAGGAGTAATAACCTGAAGATCTGGTTCTAATTATGGTTATTAGTGCGAGTCATTTGCTTCAGCCATGGTATGCTATGCAGGATCACTTTGACATTTGTGCTTGTAGGCTGTAGCAGCTTGCATGTGTACGTACACGAGCAAGTTGGTTCGGACACTATGTTACCATCCCCAAAAAGAATAAAATTAGAACTAACTTGTTATTTGTAGGCAAATGAGTGTTACATATTTGGGAAATGCCAAATTTAGCAACTGATATAGCGATAATTAGTAGTGTGAACAATGAGGGATAAGCTCAAGTGTACCCTGATTCTTTTACTCAAACCTGATAGAATATAGTATTGAAAGTTGTACGATGTAATTTACTCGTGAAGTGCCAATATTAACAATTAATGAAGTGCTAAATTCAAGGGAATTGCAGGCTGAAAGAATGCATTTTGAATTAAAAAAAATAAAATCCCAGTTCTTTTTCTTCGGTAAGTAAAAAATCTCGGTAAAATAAACTGTACGGTACAAAAACAAGAGCAAAATCAGGCAGTCGAGCAACAAGCCCGGACTCCTAAACCTTCTCTACTAATCCTCCCTATCTAAACTCACTTCTCATAAATACAAATGGGTCAGAACTATATAATCAAGTAACTCAATCAAGATAGAAGTATAGCAGTTCCTTCTTAACCTTGCCTTCATGGATCCTCTATAGTAAACTTCTTGTACCCTAACAATATCATTTGAATCCCAATTAGAAAGAACAAAAGCAGAAATTTCAATTAGTTGAAGGGTTAAGCATATTTAATAGAATACTACAGGTTCAAAGTCAAAGTACCAATAACGAAGAGTTTAGATACATATATACATAGAAATCTTGTATATTTATTTACTTAAATATTATGTCTTCAACAGAATGAATCTCTAACTATCTTTTCTTCCATTAATGTTTCATAAGAAGTAACTAAAAAATAACTCCATCAACTTATGTTCAATATTTCAGCATTTCGTCTATATTCGTGACATACACAAAAAATTTCGTAAACCAGATCGACGTAATTATGTTATAATTCGCCTTGTAAATATATTTTGGTCTAGGTTGTAGTGATTTTACGGATTTACTTCCTGTCATAAATTGATGTGTCTGTGAAGGAAAAAATATTAATGTCACAACCGTATGTATGTAATATAAAATAAGAATTTGCGAAGCTATGTAAGTGACAGTCATTGCTAATTAGGGTGTCTCCGCTCAATATACATGAATCGGGTTGGTTTGATTCTTATCAAAACCAAACCAACTATATCTATTTGGATTGGTTCGGTTTTGTTGGATTTTTCAGGTTTTTCGGGTTTTTTTTTTTTTGGTTACATGAATATTATTTCAATCTTAGTTTGTTAAAGTTATAGATAAAATTTTGATAAGTAAATATATTCTTCATAAAAATTAAAAAATTTGAATGAAATATGTATTAAAATATTCTTACGGGAGAATAACACTATTTTCTTAGTCGTCTTAACAATAATTTTTCGTTGATGTACGCTTTCAAGACCGAATTTAATAATTAAACATAAAAATCATATGATACCTAAATAATGATATTGTTATATTTAATTTAAATTATCAAAATCATTTCAAATTCGAAAAAGATTGGCACATGAATATGGAAGAACAAAGAGCTGATTGACGCATTCCAATAACACTTGATAAGAAAGTGATGATACAACCCATTATGTAAATAAATAAAAATAAATGCACTTCATAATTGTATTAATTATTACATCCCATGAGAGGATCCTAAATATTCTAGACATATTTTAAAGAAAATTTTATATAAAGTCTTAAAATATATATAAAAATTATATATTTATATGTCGGTTTGGTTCTAGTTTTTTTTTACCAAACCAAGTTAGACTAAGGCTAATCGTTCTTTTTTTTTTAAAAATATATTTGGTTTGACTTTTCGATTTGGTGCGATTTTCCGGTTCAGTTTGAACACCCCTAGTCCGCAACTATCTTTTACGAAGAAGGATTAAATTAGCTTTATTTTTCTTTAATGAAATTGATCGTCTTAAAAGTTATATTTTAGTGGACGTTTTCCTCTGCTTGATCACAGCAAACAAAAAAATTAGGCAGACATTTTTTCCCCTCAAATATAGGGCACATATTTGAATTCATTTGAAAGGCAGCAAAATCCTTCAACATACGTCACGAAAGGTAATTAATTTATTAAGTATAACTGTGTTTAAAATTGCTAAAAAGCAAATCTACCAAATGATGATAGGTTTAGAAACTCATTAATGATCTTTTCATTTAAGATACTGAAAATTTGCACTAACCAAAAAGTATTTGTCTTTCATGTGTATTACCACATAATTAAAACAAAGATATTTTTTTTACTTTCATATGAGAGAAAATGAATATCAAATCCATCTAAAATTAATTTTAAAAATTGATATTGTTTTCATCTAATGTACCAAGAAAATTTCGACTAGCTAAAAAAAAAGGTTACTTTTATATGTGCTGTTTACATGATTATGTTTTTGTTTGAGTTTCAGATATGAGGAAATAAATATCAATTTTCCATCTAAATTACGTTAAAAAAAGAAGTGTTATTTCATCGTTATCTTAGTTACACCAGAATGTTCTTTCCCTTTTGTTTCAACCCATTTTCAAGTCAAAATTATAGTATTACGTGAATATTGACATAATCCTAAAAAATGGTAAATGCATGAAAGTTATTCCTTTGTTGTTCTTGATTTGAATTAAAATTATAAGAAGTTACTAAAATAGTTTTGAATTTTTATAACAAATTTGCAAACGACTCTTCTGAACCAACACTAGGGATGATAACTGCCAAACTTCAAACGTTTCTCCATCCTCAGTATATATATATAATCTGTCTCCAACGTTCTCTTCACCCTACCACCAACTTTGCATTTTTTATTTTTCTTTCATCTGAAAATCTCTGTTCCTTTTTTTTTTTTTGTTGAAAATGACGAACACTGGCGGCAGCGGCAATAAGGTTGTCTCCGAAAACCCTCAATCACCTACTCCCGTCCCTCCTCCTACTTCCCAAAGTCCCGCTACTCCTATTAGCGGGACTCAAGTGAACCCCACCGCTGGCACTGGGATTACCACCATACCCGGTGCTAGTGCTGGTGGCAATAGCTCTAGCGCTAGCGCGGGCATTCCCACCGGACCCGATGCCAGTTCTGGTGGAAACAGCGCTAACGCTGGCATTTCCACCAGACCTGGTGCCAGTGCTGGTGGAAGCGGCGCTAGCGTTGCAGTCAGTGTTGCTGTTGCTTCTCCGAGGAAGAGAGGAAGCACGTTGGTTGAGGGTGAAGGATCGTCGAGAGGAGGGATGGGTGCGGCAAACCAAACCCGTAGTGTGAGGCCGAATGTGCCTCTAGTGATTGCACCCCCACCTGCTGCACCGGCGTTTCCTCCTCCTCCTCCTCAGCCCGAGAACACATGCGTGGTGTGTCACAAAGACTTTCATTCGATTAAAGCTTTGTTCGGACACATGAATTCGCATCCTAATCGTGGGTGGAAAGGTGCGTATCCTCCTCCTACTTTTGATAGGGAGGAGTTTGCTGATCTGCAGGCGCAAATGCAACAACAAGAAGAACAAGAAGAAGACGAAGTTGCAGGAAATGCTGGCGACCCCGTGGTGGAAGAAGTACGTCCCGAAAGGCGCGAGGTAGTCCCTGATCTTAATGTGGCTGAACCCGCGGTAGGGGAAGAAGGATATCGTTTGCCCGATTTGAATTTGCCACCACCAGCAGAGGAATAAAGGAGTAGTTGTTTGGCATATATATGCTGATTTGCGGGTGTTGAACAATGAATGTTTTTTTATTATAATTTTCTGTTTGCATGCTGGTTAGAGAAAGGAGACTTCTGGTGCTTGTAATAAATCTCCTTTAATTTTCTTTGATCAAATATTTTGATATGGTTATTATAATGTTTGTTTTAGTCAGACTTTGTTTGGATGCTCTATTTTTCTCTGCGTATTTTTTGATCTGACTTCAATTCGTTTTGATTACGCTATACATGCATGCAATATCCATTAGGAAATTGTTATCATCAGAACATGTTTGATTCTAATATCATTAGAGTTTAAGGCGGATTCAGAATTTTTAGCTTATGGGTTCCTATAACAATCTCAAGTAAACTTTACAGGATAACCTTACTGGGTTTTAAGCCAAATATTCTTATACTTCTAATAATTTATTTTAGTACAAATACAAGATTTATGCAAAAATTATTGGGTTTAACGAGAACCCGTAATGTTTGATCCGGATCCGCCCCTGGTTAGACTCCAATGCACACTCTATATCCAACTGGAGAATTGTCAGATTAACTTTCAAATTTGTTTTACTTTTCTTTCAAAAGATATTTAGACTTATTTTGTTTCTTAGAAAAAAAAATTATGAAAAAAATGAATAGGTGCCTATATATTTAAATGATGTTTGCGTGATTTACTTATTCGAGTGGTTGTGACTTTTGATTGTATTATCTATTTGAATGAGTTCAGATAATTCTACTCAAGAAGTGTCATTAGTTGTTGTACTTGTATAACTATTAGACGAAGCTATTAGCAAAAGATATACAAACTCAATGCAACTGTTTCATTTCTAATTAAGGAGATTGATATGAGGGAGATTAGACTACTCAGTGCACTGAATTGAAATATATAATGTCTATACTTTGTGGGCATTTCTTTTATTTAATCTTTAAAATTTATTTAGAAATAAAGCTTAAACTATTATGAGGAAAAGAAAACTGTTTTGCTCAAAAGTTAATGATGTACTTTGTAAGCGATAAAACAATCAAAAAATAGAGAAGGGGTAAATCATAATCAAATATAATAACCCTAGAGATGCAAAGATGATAATGTTGTTATAGATCTAGTGTTACAAAGACGATAATGTATGTTCACAAGATATTTTCGTCAAGAGTATAGATAGAGATAGAGAGAGAAAGACAGAAAAGGAGAGAGTTGTATTATCAGATCAGATCCCTCTTTACAATGTGGAGGTCCCTTTTATATAATAGGAGACCTTCCTCGAAAGAATCAAAAAGTTACAGAGATAGGTAACGTCTCCCTAGTGTAGACACTGAGTTCTAAACGACGTCGCTTTGGTCCTCACGACCGAGTCGTACCCGCTACGTTTAGTCGGCGTACACTCATTGGGCGTACCTACTGACGTAGAGATACTGAGGGTCAAATTTGACCCTATACAAAAACGTTATTAAGAAGATATGCACACAACTCGAGTACTGAGATGTGTGTAAATTTGTTAGTTGATATATAACTAAACGTTCCCTAAACCAAACCATCATGTTTTAGTTCTTGCATAGGAAACTGTTGTCTTCATATCTCGATTTTTCAACTATTAATTTTAAACATTAAATATCTTCGATTATGAGTTTTCTTATTATTATAAATTATTAATGTATAGAAAACCTTGATAATTAATTATCGTACAACAATAATATCCAGATTTTTGCACCACAAATATATAAGCACTTTGTTGTTCTTTATTTAGGATTTAATTTTGAGGCTTTCTTTGACATTTGGTTGGTGAAAGTTTGCTGGATTACATACATATATATTGACAGTAGTAACTTTAGAGTCTGTTTGGAAAGTTACTCCGTAATTGAAATTGGTGTAATTACTAGGGTAATAATTACATAACCTAGTAATTATACAGTTGTGTAATTACAACGACCTGTTTGTTTGTCATAGTATAATTACAGTGTAATTACAAGTTTATTGTTTGGTTGCACAAGTGTGATTACACAGTTAGATTAAATTTCAAATTAGGTAATTATCAAAACTTAGAAGTTAATATAATAAATATATGCCTATAAATTTTTATAAGTATAAATGATATTATATTTTGTATTTATGATGTATATTTTTTTCGTGAATATACATTAATTTAGTAATCATATATTTATAAATAATATTGTAAAAATAATTTATATATTTTTTTAAATTAATAGTATTTTGTTTAGATACATACAGAAATAAAAAAAATATACGTTTTGTAAGAATATAAAATAAATTAATATTACAAATATAATGTCATAATATTATTCAAATATTTGACAAAACTAATCTATCAATTCTAACTAAAAAACGAACAACATGCAATGTGAGTGAATATTACTAAAACAAGTAAATTTGAACCATGAATATAACACAATTTCAAAATTCAAAATAAATAAAATAGTTTAACATATGTCAAATTCCAACATAATAATAGTAAGTTCCAGTGCAACTTAATAATTAGGAAACATGATAAGTTTATAACCACATTCAAAAGCGAAATTCCACTTTAATTGCATCACTCATTATATACCAAGTTTGTTAATGACTCATTATTTCTAATATTAGGAGTTGTAGTTTAAAAAAATAGAATAATAAAATAAATAAAAAATAAAATATAGTAAGCAATTACATGGAATCACAAGAAGTAAAAATAGAGAAATAAAAGATAAATAATGTATAAAAAAATATATTTTAAAATTTTAAAAGAAATTAAAAAGTAAAAATTAAATAAAAAATTAAAATAATAGAAATAAAAAATTAAAAAGAAAATAAATTAAAAAAAAAACAAAAAGGAAAGAAACTAAAAAGCAACCTTGTAATTACACAGTGTAATTATCACAAATTCTCACCTCTCCTTGTGAATTGGAGAGTGTAATTACACCACTCCAATTACACCCAATTCCATGCTGACCAAGTAATTACTTGGCCAAACAAACATGCCATAATTACATCCAATTACACCCAAATCCATTTCCAAGGTGGCTTTCCAAACAAGCTCTTAATTATTTGGGAATGCTGGATTTTGTATCATTTATATTAGCATCTCTTTCACAAGGTAAGTTATTATCAAAATCTTTCTCTCAAATTTTCTGTAGACTCTAATGATTATCTAAAACAACCGAGCAAACTCTTTTTAGTGTCTATTAGTTATACCTACTAATTGTCTGTACAAATCAGAGAGTCCACGTTGGAGCACCCACCTGTCCTCGAGTGGGTCCGTCCCTGTTATAGATAGACGAGATTTATCATCTAACGAATATATTAAGAATATTATTATTCGTTCTATAAGAACAAACAACAGCACACCCAGTGCAATCCACACATAAGGTCTGGGGAGGATTATGTGTACGCAGACCTTATCCCTATCTTATGAAGGAAGAGAGGTTGTTTCCGATAGATCCTCAGCTCAAGAACAGTGAAAAAGACACAATAAACAAACAGTAACAATGGCAAGAAAATAAGATAATAGAAACAAATAGCACATGTAATAGTAAAGAATCTAGGAATACGAAGCTATAAGAGAAGTGCGAAAACTACCGGCAATAATGCCACGTCGTCCAACAACAAGGAACTCGGAATAGGAGAATACAAGACTAGTACAAATACTACTACTACTACTACGACTAGAAGAGACTCTCGATAACCAGTCAAACCATAATCCTAATTTTCGACCTCCACACCTTCTTATTGAGGGTCATGTCCCATGTCCTGCCTAATCACTTCTCCCCAGTACTTCCTATGCCTTCCTCTACCTCTCCTCTGACCCGCCATGGTCAACCTCTCACATCTCCTCACAAGGGCATCGATGTCTCTCCTCTTCACATGCCCGAACCATCTCAACCTCGATTCCCGTAACTTGTCTTCCACAGGAGCCCCACCGATCTTGTCTCTAATAACTTCATTCCGAATCCGGTCTTTCCTGGTATGCCCACACATCCATCTCAACATCCTTATCTCTGCTACTTTCATGTTCTGGACATGAGATTTCTTGACTAGCCAACACTCGGCTCCACATAGTCGGCCTAACTACCACTTCGTAGAACTTGCCCTTAAGTCTTGGTGTTTTATCCTATCATACAAAACACCAGACACAAGCCTTCATTTTATCCATCCCACTCCAGTACCATGCGTAATATCCTCGTCAATCTCCCCGTTCCCCTGAATAATAGTCCCAAGATATTTGAAACTATCTCTCTTGGGGATGACTTGTATATCAAGCTTCACCTCCTCTTCTTTCCTGTGTCCCCACACTGAACTTGCAGTACAAGTATTCAGTTTTTTTCCTACTCAACTTGAAACCTTTAGACTCCAAGGGTCTGCCTCCACAACTCTAGCCGATCGTTAACCCCGCAATACATCTAATCGATTAACTCTATGTCATCTGCAAATAACATACACCATGGCACCTCCCCCTGAATGTGGCGCGTTAACACGTCCATCGCAAGGCAAATAAAAATGGACTAAGAGCTGAACCCTGATGTAACCCCATCATCACAGGAAAATAGTCTCCTCCCACAATCCTCACCCGAGTCTTCGCTTTATCGTACATATCCTTAATCACCATAATGTATGCTACCGTAACACCACTAACCTCCAGACATCTCCATAGAACCTCCCTTAGGACTTTATCGATCGTAAGCTTTTTCTAAATCAATGAACACCATATGCAGGTCCCTCTTCCTCTCCTGATATTGCTCCATCAATCTCCTCATAAGATGAATGACTTCTGTAGTCGAACGCCCTGGCATGGAATCGAACTGATTCTCCGGAATAGACACACTCATCCTCACCCTCCTCTCCACCACCCTCTCCCACACTTACATAATGTGATTCAGTAGCTTGATACCCCTGTAGTTGTTACAATTTTGGATATCACCCTTGTTCTTGTGCAACGGGACTATCAACCTGCACCTCCATTCTTCGGTCATCTTCTTAGTCCTAAAAATGACATTAAA